CTTGGCATCTTTGTAAAATAACAAAACTACATAGCCTTTAAGATTATAGTGAAGACAAAATGAGAGACTACATGTAAAGTGCCCAGCCATTGCTTGGTAGGGCTGCTGGTGCTCAAGATTAAAAATCATTCCTGCACCACAGATAGGGGTAGAAGGGATGATACAGAGGCAATTTCTAAACCTAGATCTACCACAGGGTACCAGAAGGCTCTCAGACAAATCCCAGGAGCTCACCCAAATACAGTCTTATGTAAAGTTGGGAATCACAATATGTCACCATAAATGTACCTGCCAAGTATCATGTGGAGAGCCGAGCTCTCAGAAGTAGCTCAATAAATTGCTACAGTGATCACAAAGGAGAGGGGCTCAGGCCTTTGAGGCCTGGAAAACCCAAGATGTATCAGTCTAGGTAGATGACAGCCAGGCTTCTCACACTGGACAGGACAGGAATTGCTTCCCTATCCCAGGCAGAAAGCATGTTGCAGGCAGTAAGTGACAAGGCTTGAGGTATAGGAAGCAGTAGGAACAGAGAGTGGGCAGGATGGGCAGCCAGGCAGAGCTGAACAGGAAGCTTATGGGAGGGAAGACCTGGACACAGGTGGGATGGCTCTTGGGATCGGTAGAACCTCAGCTATGTGAATGGGGACACAAAGGAAGGATTGTAAAGTCAAAACAGGAAAGAATCTTCAAAATACCTAAACCAAATTTTCAGTGGGACAGATAGGGACACTGAGGCCCAGAGTGGGAGGCCTCCTCTGGGAACAGAGCCAGCCATTGCTCCTCCTCCCACTTCTCCAGACACCAGTGGCTTCTGTTACCATGGGGATGTCCCTGGCTCAGAGGTTGTCAGTGGCTCCCCCAATCCCCCTCCTTCCCTAACAACAGGCCACCTCCTCTTGCTCTTATCACTGCATGCCTAGCAACCTCAGCCTGGTCCCCAGGGCCATGGATTTCCAGCCTGACCTCTTCCAGCCATGATTGCCACTTGGATAGCTGGGACTCCCTCATCTTCTGTTAATGGGATCTATCTAGCCCCTCCTGCCTGTCTGTTTTTAAGTTCTACACCTGTCCACATTTTGCAGCATGACTCACTATTGTACAGCCACAAGTTAGATTAAGGAGGCTGTGGAGCACACTTGGTTGAGCACATCTGATGTTGAGCATAGCTTTACTTCCATTTCCCCCAACTCAGAGAAGTCAGAACCATTGTTTCCATTTTATAAAAGAGAAACAAAGGACCAGAGAATTTAAGTGCTGGCAAAAATGAGACATTAAGAAGCAGGCTGTGCTGGTAGCTTTGTGATCTTTAGCTATGGCCAGCCTTACTCTGGACTTTGGCTTACAGTGCCTTTAGGGTTGACAAATTTTGTTGTTGGATATATAGGAAACCCAGACATCCATCTTTGCCTCGTGCCCCACTACTGGCTATTCAGCTTTAATTACCCTCTTGCACTCAATACGGAGGGGTCCTAAAGCCTGGGCCCTAACATGGATAGTTTGCAGTCTACCTACTCTGCTCACTCCTTGCTACTCAGTTTTTACACTAGCTGGGCCTAGTCTTCTTCTTGGCTTTTCTTCCACCACCCAACTCTTCTCTATACACACATACACACATGTAAGTACACACTCAGGAATGCAGGTGCTTACTGGATGAAGAAACTTAGGGTTTACATGAGACAAACAGATTTGCCCAGTCAAATGATTAGAAAGCAACCTAGCCCTAAATGGAGCCCTTATTCTGGATCCAAAGTTTCTACCCATTTTTGTGTGTGTGTGCCACAGAGCCTACTTTTCTAGCTCCTCATCACTCAGGTGTATACAACCTGCAGCCCAGAGGCCACCTACACCCTAGGATAGCTATATATGATACCACCACAAAACTATGAACTTATTTAAAACATTATCAACTTATTAAAACATTGTGTGTATATGTGCATGTGTATGTACACATGTGCATTTTTGTCTGTATGTGTGTAGATGGTATGTGTGGATGTGGGTACACAAGAACATGTGTGTATGTTTGTGTGTGTACGCATGTGTTCATTTATGTTCATGTGCATGTGTGTGTGCGTGCTTATATGTGTGTGTGTGTGTGTGTGTGTGAAGGCCAGAGGCTGCTTACAGGTATCTTCTTCAATTGCTCTTCTCTATTTTAAGATAGGGTCTCTCACTAACTTGTTAGGAAGGCTGGTCGGTGAGTTCCAGGGGTCTGTCTCCCTAACACTGTGATTATCAGAACACGCCATCATGCTCAGCTTTTTGTACAGCTTCTGGGCATCACCCAGAGGTCCTCACACTTACATGGCATGCACTTTACCACATCAGCCATCTCCCCAGCTGTTATTAGGAGATTTTTTACACTGTTTTATAAACATCAGTTTACATGGTTCCTTTGTATGAACTTTGTAGATGACAACAGCATGTCATAAAGTCAAAAGACTGGACATGCCTGAAGAGAACTGTGACACATCCTTGACCCAATCATAGTTCCTACCTTCAGAAGTTGTGCTTTCCTGCTCATATCTATTTTAGCCAAACTGACTAGTGCCTGGCTTTCAATACATTCCTTGTTTCCCTAGTCATGCAGGGACTCTCCTTACGAAAAGTCAGTCCTGTGTAGCCCTGCCTGCTTAGACACCATCTGCCCCAAGAAAGCACTCTCTAACTGTAGTGAACTAGAGAAGTTATATATGGGGCCTAAAAATATCTTCAGAGAGACCTATCTAACTGTAGTTCCAAATAAAAGGGTCTGCCCCCTATTTTTCAAGACCCTGTTTTATATGTGCTACTGTTATAGACACTATCCATAGCCTGAATTTGATCTGCCTGCTGAGTCCTCAAAACAGCCTGAGTGTCCTTGAATAGGAGCCCAGTACTCACACCAGGAAACAAATCTGAGTAAAATCAACACTAGCTCCAGAAGCAGAGAGTCCGGGGTATGAATCAGAGGAATGCCACCCTACCCATTGATCTTCTTTCCCTGTGTGAGGCACTGACCCTCTTGGGATCTCCTTTTCCTCATTTGTTTCTAAGAAAGGCTTTTCTGTGTAGCTCTGGTTGTCCTGGAATTCGATATGTAGACCTTGAACTCACAGAAATCCTCCTGCTTCTGCTTCGAGAGCCTGGGGTTAAAGCACACCTGGCTCCTTTTCTTCACTTGCAAATCAGACATCATAATGCATGCCTAATGCAGCTGATGTGAGCATTAAATTAGATCACATTTAGAGTTTTTTGTCTATGAAGAATCAGTGGTAGTTATTATGATTACTAATATTTGGATGATGGTAAGGATGAGCATCATCTGCAAAGCTGTCAAGAAGTCCTATAGTGACAGTATACGCAGGAATCTGGGCTTGGTGCCAGACCGACTGGAATTTGAATCCTGGCTTGTTTCCTCAACTGTAAAACAAAGATGATAAGGCCAGCACAGGTTCCATTCACAGTGTCACTGGGTGGATCAAATAAAACAAATCCTGGCCCAGTTCTGTATGTTATAAAGGCCCAACATATGTCATCATGTGACTCATCATTATGGTCACTATTAAATACCATAAGCTAAAGGTTCCAGGAACTCCTCAGCTAAGAGGAGCTGACAACTAGATGCGTTCAGTCTGGTTCCTCCACAAGTTAGCAGGTGTATCACCATAAATGCTTATGAAAGGCCTGGGCTTGAGGTCATCCCAGGTTGCCTTTCTCCAAACCCACAGTAAGGACATTGAGATCTATGCCCTTTCTTAGACAAGTGCCATCCTAAGTGCTAGAACAAGCTGTGCCTGGCCATGCTCCTTGGCTGCATGAAAGGATTAATTATGTGGCATCACAGACCTCTTGCCCAGACACCAGGGCTGACATCACATTCTCATTGATTTAATGCTGGCCTCAGCATGTGTCCACCCTACAGCCCTCTCCTTGGACCTGGGCACCAATATGCTTAGCCCAGACTCCTACAAGGGATGCTAGGACAGACTCTGTACACAGACAACTGACCCCAGCTCATGTCCACTAACCTGCATGACAGGAACTGTGCTGTTACATATGGTTAGGCAAGCTGTGTCCTGCTCAAGGGTTTATAGCTGAGAAGTAGTGAATAAGGGCTGACATCCCATTTGTGCTGTGTAAACTAACCTGGGAAGCCTGGTGAGTAAGGCTCACAAGAAAAGGAACATTTTTTCAATTGATCCGTTCAGAAGAAAGAGTGGTTCCTTAAAAGTTGTTTGTGCTCATCACAAAAATACCATATTTATTTGTGCAAGTCTGGAGAGCACTGACTGTCCCCATTGTGTGCCTCTACTGCCTGGGACCATCTTATTTCAAAGCCATTGTTCCCAATCCAGACGCTAAGACTAGACCACACCCCAAACTGCCACACCATCCCTACATTATCCCTAGTTTTGATACTTCTGCCTTCATGAGTTTTCTGACAGATGAGAGCCAGAGAAATGCACAAAGAACCCTGGTCTTACTCCAACTTTATTTCTGCTTCCTCAAATGCCAACTGATCACCTTAAAACAGTACCAAGCTTATAAACTTTTAACCAAGCATGCAAAAAATATTTCCTTGTCACCATATATGTTTCTAACATCTAGAATGTATCACAACTAAAGTTCATCTAAGTCCCATTACTTGAGACTGGCATAGTTCAGGAGAAGAAGGGAAAATAAGACAAGCCCTGAAAACCCAGCATCCATTATTCCCTTCTCTCCTGGAAGAAGAAAGTAGAAAGATTCCTGGGTCTGGAGCTGACCACTTATGAGTCCCTGTACTATGCAGCAAAGCTCTCAAGTTCCCTAGGACTGCAAAGACTGAATAATAGTCCTTAACACCATCATATCCATGCCTGCCACATTCTCCTTTCCACTCCACACCCACTTCTAATACCAATGGGGAAAGAACCCTGCCATTGACCCATACCCATGAACCCAAAATAACAATCAGAAAACCCCTCTACCCCAGACCCAGCCCCATCCCTCAAGTACTTCTAAAGAAACAAGGTACTGACCTGACTGTTCTGGAATTCTCACCATCAGATCTGAAAGAGAAATGGGGGAAAAAAGAAACAACAAGAGTCAATATAGACTCACTACTCTTTTCCCCTACCCTACCTTGCAGTCCAGCGTAGGTCATGAAAACACAAACATATGTGTTTCATTCATGCACGAGAGCAGCAAGTGCAAAGGCCATGATGGTGAGTGCTTAGTCAGTTGGAGCAACAGGGAGAAGGACTGGTTGGCTAGGTAAGCAAGCAAAGGGCCACTGGAGGTGTGTGAAGTCAGGGGAGTAGCAGCGATCAAAATGCGTGTGGCTTTCCTTGGAGTGGGGTTTGAGGAGCAGCCAGAGACATCCAGGTTCAGATACTGTCTCTGCTACTTACCATCCCTGTGATTTAGGCAAGCTACTTCATTTCTCTCAGTCTGAGCCTCAGTATGCCCATTTGTAACACAAGGTCGATCCTCCCAGAGTTGTTGGGATGATTAAGCTCTTTGGAACCAAGCAGACAAATGCCAGATAGTATTAACAAGATAGAAGAGGCTTTATCAACTTCCCAGTCCGACCTGCTTATTTTCCAGATGAAGAGACTGAAGCTGAGAAGGGTAAATGAGACAGCTGCTGGGCTCCTTTCTACGACACTAGACTGCCTTCTGCATTATGCATGGCCTCAGATGCAAAAGAAGGGTGAAAGAGAATGGAGTGAGGGCCACCTCTGAGGCGAGCCAGGAAATGAGCTAAACCAGGATCACTCCCCTTCCCTCTCACTCCTTCTCCCTGAGAAGAATGTGTGCTGTGCAGGCTCACATGCCTGTACAAGCAGTCACATGGATATTATATGTGCATGTGTGTGTGCACATGCACTTGTGTATTGAATGTTAGAACAGAGAAGCTGTTATATATTAGGGGCCAAAGAGGAGAAAAAGGAGAACTGGGGACCCTGGAAGTGGAAGAGTATAGGAAGTAGTCTTCCTCCCTCTTCGCCCCACACCTCTGGTCCTCTCCCACGCTGAGCTGTAAAAGGCACAGAGATGAACACATAAGACTCTGTCTTCAACTAAGAGAACCAAGATATATTCTTAGCGGTTTTTTGGGGAGGTGGGAGGGATGTTATCTATATCTACGTTGAGAGGATGCTCTTAGAAGAGCATTTGCTGAGAGAATGAGCACACACGCACACACACACACACACACCAGCAAGGTAGGGCAGGCAAGCATTAGGGTGCTAAGTGAGTCTCAATGCTCACTATCCTGAACATTATCCTGAAGAAGTCACTTTGCTATCTAGTACCTCAGATTTTTCACTCAGTGAACGTGGCAGTACGTGGCAGTGGCAAAAATTCCTCCCTTCAAGGAATGGTTTAGAGGTTCAAGGCACATGTTCAGCTGATTAACAGTGGTACTAAACTGTTAGTTTTTGTTCCCTTAAAGGAACAGAGAAACAAGGCCACAACACACTTTATTACAGTTATTAAAACTTTCCTTTGCAATCTCTAGCAACAAGACAGCTTCTGAAGCCCAGCTCAGTTACTCTCAAGTATCAAGTCTGAGGAGCCAAACTTGAATGACTCCCCAGCTGCCTACAGAATGGAAGCCAGAACCCTTGATATCTATAATACTAATCCCTTGCTTCATGAAGGCTGGCCTCCCTACAAGCACCCATATCAAAATCTAACATACATTTCTTCAGTTGACTATACCCCAGGCACTAACCTGGAAAGACAGGTTACTCGGGTAACTACCTACTCAAAGAGTTCTGTTTCATCATTGTCGTGATGAACAACCAATGAGCATTTACTGTGTACCAATCATAGTATTTCTGCTTCCAAAGTATTCCTGTGATGTGTTACAGTTCTCAAGACGGATATGGGGTTGACAGGAATCAGGGGAGAATGTCCAAGTCCTGATGCAGAGCGTATTAACCAATTCTTCTCACATTAGACCGATTCTTCTTAGGAGGACATAGCATCATAAGACCCAAAGTGAGGGTGCATCCATTCTCACTAAGCATTTAGTATGTTGTATGTGGATAACAATTATGCTGGTCAGTTTTTGTTAACTTGACACAAACCTAGACATATTTGGAAAGAGGAACTCTTAACTGAGAAAATGCCTCCAAGAAATTGGCCTGTAGGCCACATCTATGGAATATTTTCTTGATTAATGATTGATGTGTGAGTAGAGCTTAGGGATTGTGCCATTAATGAGTAGGTGGTCCTGGGATGTATAGGAAAGCAGGATGAACAAGGCAGGGGGAGAAATCTGGAAAACAGTATTTCTCCATGGCCTCTGCATCACTTCTTGCCTTGATTTCCTGCCCTGACTTTCTTTGGTGACTGACTGTGATGTAGAATTGTAAATGGAAATAAATCCCTTTCTCCCCAAAAGGTCATGATGTTTTATCACATCAATAGAAAACCTAAGACAACAATCATCATCACTTAAGACGACAATCATCTGGCACCTCTTCAGGGAACGGTGCCTTGACCAATGGTCAATCTGCTTCCTACCTCATGAAGCTGGGCTACCATTCTTCTGGGAGGGAATATAAAGTGGTAGGAAGTTAGGATGTATTATGATTTGATCCCTAACAGGCAGTGTTAACTTTAGTAAGTCATCTCTCTGGACCTTTGATCTTCATCTATAATGATGAAGCTATGTTACTTGAGTACTAATCACTCTTTAGGCTTTAAAACATTTACTTTCTACTAGGCAGTGGTGGCACATGCCTTCAATCCCAGTAGTTGACAGGCAGAGGCAGATGGATCTCTGAGTTTGAGGTTAGCCTGTTCTACAGAGCAAGTTCCAGGACAGACAGAGCTACCCAGAGAAACCCTGTCTCAAAAAACAAACAAGCAAACAAAAATTTACTTTTTTCAGAATCCCAAAATGTATTTCTTTTGTCAATTAGAGTCAGCTGTCCATATGTGGAACCAAAGACCCAGGGACTACACCCTACTTTTTTAATCATGTAAGTAGAAGGAAATTCTATCTATCTATCTATCTATCTATCTATCTATCTATCTATCTATCT